AATGAGCCATTGACACCTGGCCACGTCCCCCCCCCCCTTTTATGGGGCTGAAGGGGATGTATCTGGATCGCGTTTCACTGTTGCGTTGTTCATTAAATTACCATGCGAATGCGATATGAATACGCGCTAATGCGGCTATTTATAATGTGAATAGCGATCTTCGGGTGAGAGCGGTACTACATGCCCCCGATGCAGGTAAAACAAAGTAAGGTGACGTAGTTTACTTTTTTGCTGATTTAACCTAATTTAAAAAACTTTAATACTTCCGACAATGGACGTTTTGAAAAGACGACAGATAACGGATTTAGCCAGCGTTTTTTTCACGATTCTACGTTTAGATTTTAGCGAGATATAAACGGAAAGAGACGCGAAAAGTACGCTGCGTCGCCGACGACACACTCGACCCCAGAGGGTTAAACCAAACAACTCTTGGTGAATATTAAGATTTAAAGCCCACAGGTATCTGGGAGGCTCACTGGACAGGCCGGGACTGGCCGTTTGGCATACTGGGCATTCTCCCAGTGTATCGTAGGGGAGCCAAAAGTCTACAGCCGATTATCTCTGGACAGTACCATCACCTCACACCGCCAGGATTGTGGGTCCAAATCCCCACCTTTGTCATATGGAGTTTAGATTCATTTAGGAATTAGGTTATCCTTTAAATCGTCTGCATTGTGTGGGACCTTCGAAGGACTGCCATCCTATCCAGAGTGTACCCTTACCTATACTGTCAGGGGTAGGTTCCAAGCCCCCCACCCCCCACAACCATGACAAGCTTTTCAATGTTGAAATAAAAGCCCAGACTGGTTCGTTTCATCTGCAGAATAATATTTGCATTTATACATAGTTATATAACATAAAAATGAGCGGAACATCACCGGTAGGTAAACTTACTTGTTGTCATTATTTAACGTGTCCACTGGCTGTTGATACTGTCCGTTCATCCTACTCTCCTTACTGCAAGGAAATCGGGGGGAGGGAAAAATAAGCCGTTAACAGCTGCATAGCCCCTCCCTCGAGGGAGGCAACCGCTTGTGCGTGTGCGGTCAACACATCGCTTAATAAGCCGACACCATCACATTCTCCAGTCACCTGACACTGCAAACACACTCATGCTACCTATCGGCATGTCTCTCTCGCCCCGCCCACCCGTCACCCAGAGGGACTTCAGGATGGAGTCTAACACAAACACTGCCAGGACCATGTCCACTGCACCCCCCCCGGGCACTAGGTTGTGTGGGAGATAAAAGAAAATGTGCAAGTAGAAGAGAAAATGGCAAAGGTGGTGGGCGGGGCTTACCTGGACGCCATGAAGGGCGTCATGTCCAGCTCCAGCGGGAAGGACACGTAGGTGGTGATCTTCCTCCGCAGCTTGGCAGAGTGCTCGAACCGCTGAGGGGTCGGCGCAACAGGGAGGAGAGCGTTACAGGAGTGGGGGCAGAGAGAGGGAGGCATATCATAGACCAGCTGGGGTGTGGCCTCTGGCCGACAGTGAAAGGGAGGAGAACCAGCAACCAGCAGGGGTGTGGCCTCTGGCCGACAGTGAAAGGGAGGAGAACCAGCAACCAGCAGGGGTGTGGCCTTTGGCGGTACAGGTCCGGTTTCAAACAACCCTGTTTTTTTCCCCTTAAACCACATGGGCCTATATAGAAACACACTACAATGTTCATTTGGTCCAACACCTTATCACCTTGTTATCAAGGAATCCACAAGGAATTAAGTGCAGTGTTACAAGCTAATAGGCATATGTTGGGGAAATTCTGTTGTACCTTTGAATAAGGCATCTGACGTGACTGTACCTTGAAACGCATAAACAGGAGAGACAGCGGGTGACTCACTTTGAGGTGGAAACACGCCACAATGGGCAACTTCTTCATCGTCAGCTGTTTGGTGGACTCCTGGTAACTATGGCAACCGCTGCACTTGATTTTGGCACTGCTCCCTAGGTGCTCAGGTCGAGTGAACCTGTGGGGGGAGGCGGGCAGTGTGAGAGCCGCAGAGTGTGTGCGTGTGAGTGCGCGAGTGTGGGGCTGAGGGATCCTGTAATTCACACCCCCATTAGCGCATCTTCGATATGAAGAAACACAGAATGAATGTTTAACGAGGGGCCCAGACTCGCCGCGAATGCAAATGACAGCAGCAGGCTGGGCGAAGGAGGATTCATTGATCACGCTGCACTGCATTACAGTACCAACAGGCAGGGGAGGGGCCTCTGTGACTGGGGAGAGGGCGGGCTTCATAGATGAGGGGCGGGACCGGCTAGGCAGGCTGCTGGGGTAGGGTAGATCTAACTGAAAAGGGGCGGGGCCCCCCATAGGACAGGGATGGAGGGTATACACGACATCACAGCAGGCGGAAGTCACTGCGGTCACACCCAACAAGTGGCGTGTGTAGAGTTCAGCTCGGATGCAGCAGAAAAATCTGAACTGGGAAAGAGCTGCTGTGTGACTGATTGTACAAACCGATTTACCAAGAAAGAAGCACATGGATCACTGCAATCTGCAGCAAACTGCAATCCAGACTCCGAGACGTGGATTTGCGGTTGTCATTCTGTGGCAATTATGTTGGATTTTTGGGTAAAATAATACCGTAAGTCAATTAAATATTTAGCATCATTCATTTATATTCTGTGTAACTGTGAGAATTTGTCAGCATTCAGCAGTGGATCATTTTTGAATAAAATTACCTTTCATTACATTGCATTGCTTACATTTCTAAAATGCTCCGATTCATTATGTTTTCCTTTAGTATCTCTATGTAATTACTGGAGTAGTTCAAACTATCACAAAACATAAAGGTGGTTTAACACCATGCAAAGGGTGTCTAACAGGAAGGGGGCAGGACCCCCAGACAGTCTGACGGGGACTGGAGGCGACAAAGAACGGTGGGACTACCTCCGCAGACAGTCTGTAAGGGTGGTCGCCCCTGAGACCTGGTTCTCCCCGTTGACCACACCACTGTCGCTGCCAGGGCTCAGGGGCCAGAAAGGTGTGGAAGAACCAGGCAGGTCCAAACTGATGTCCCAGAAGGGGTCTATCGTTGTGGAAACACCACTGGGCAGAGAGACAATAAGGTGTCAGTTTCAGGCGACCTTTCACCGAGCCCATCATAAAGCAGGAATACAAGCACAGATTAGCCACAAGAGGGAGCCATAGAGTCAGACTGACAGGGCAAGCAGAGAGGCTGCAGCAGGCGAGAGCAGCGTGACGGGCAGCTGGGAGCCATGGAGAGAACCTCATGGGGGGGCAGGGCGGGGCCACGGGGCCACGTGCACAAGCACGCACGCACGCACGCACGCACGCACGCACACACACACGTGCAAAGCTTACTGGCAGACTTGGCAGGTGACATCAGACTGCAGGCCGCCCGTGAAGATTTGGTCGATGATGCAGTTGCAGTGGTTCGGGTTGTTGGCCTTCTTCCCGTTGTCGTCGCCTTGGAGACCGCGGGCGGGGCCGAGGGGGGGGACAGAGTGAGTGAGCGTGACTGAGAAGCACAGCTCGGAGCCCACGAGCACGGGGGAGGACCCGGCGGCTCGCATCATCAACACCCGCGTTAAGGGCTCTTATCGGCACGGCAACAAGCACTAACACCACAGTGTTTCATCATGCCTCCCCCCCCCTCGTATCTCGGGTAGGAGGCTCGGCAAGATCGGAAGGGGTATAAATGCTGCCGAAACAGGAGAGAGGTGTTCCCTATACCCAATCAGCTCCCGTGCAGCTGCATACAGAGGAGGATGCAGCCAGGATGACATCGGCAATCTGGGCTGCAAGTGGCGCGCCCCCTAGTGGCCCAGGTGCTCAGCGCAGAATCAAAAAAGAATGCACAAACTTTCTGGTTGCTATAGATACCAAGTCTCTTCCCACATGGTCTCCATTTCGCCGCTGCTGCAGCATGATGCTGACATCATCCCCTCCCACACTGCAACAACCCACCACAGCTTCAACCAGCCTCACCCCCCCCACACCCACTAAACTCCATCCACTTTATAACCCAACCACTTGCTTGGCCACACCCCCATTCCCATGCAGCCCCGCCCCCTACCTTTACAATGCCGGTGCAGCACATCAAGCGCGGCGATGAGGAACTCGTGGGCGTCCTGTTGCTCGTAGCCAGCCAGGTGGCGTGCGTGTGTCCACACCAGGTGCAGCAGGCGGAAGGGAATGTGGGGCGAGCGGTGGCCCGAGTAGAACTGGGGGAGGCAGGCGGGGACATGAGTGATTAGGCCACTCCCTCCCCCCCTCCCACCACTAGCGGCGCCACCTGCAGGCAGGTCAGGAGCTGGCAGGTCGCCAATGGCATATGGATGTCAGAGCTCCGGAGGAGAGGAGGAAGGATGGGGGGGGGGGGTTGACAGTCTCCATCTCAGCCTCCCCAAGGGTCAGTGTATGCGAGAGAAACTTTCCACAGCATAAAAATCAGTTCGCAGCAAGACGGCAGCTAATTAAAATCCCTAATTGGGGGGGGGGGCGATATATCACACCCATACTCAGCATGCCTTCGACTCACTATGATATCCATCAGCAAAACGCGCCCAGAGCCCCGCCCTGTTCATAGCCTGGACCAATGAGAACGAGGCCTGGCTGGTTTTGGCCCCTGCCGCCATGTGCGCTGTTCTGTAATTAGCCAGTAATTAGATACGAACAGACGACTCGTGTGAGTGTCTGGGCAGCTCACTGAGATGCACTTCCAATCTTCAACCTAATTCCAGATTTTGTCACGCTCTCAAAATATTAGTATAACTGTTTACAGTCATACTAACAAGCTAAAATAGGAAGGAAGACAGAGAGGGACTGTGAGCGTCTGACATAAATAAGGGAGAGTTTGCAGCATAAATGCATGAGTATGAGGCCGACATGGCTTTTACACTCCTCAGTGTTAAACATCACAGGCCTCCAGAGTGCAGCCCCGGTCCCTGGCTCCGCCCCCAAATCCACCCCCTGGCTCCGGCCCCTAGCTCCAGCCCCAGGCTCCGCCTCCCCATCCAGCCCCAGGCTCCGCCTCCCAATCTGGCCCCTGGCTCCACCCCCAGATCTGGCTTCCCCTTCTAATGCCTGGGGAACTCACCTCCTGGAAGAGCTGGGACATCTCACACACCAGGCAGGAGTTGGGCTTCATCTCGCACTTGTGCCGGTCGGACAGGAAGAAGTCTCGCAGCAGCGGCGTGTGCGTGAGCGCCTGTACGATGCAGTTCATGAAGCACGTGTTGCCTAGGTTTATCAGGCCCCGCAGCCCTGGGTAAGGGGTCAGAGGTCAGAGGTCAGGGTCGTACATTCCGGCATTGCTGACGTCACACCACGCCTTGAACAGACAGGCCGGCACGCGGCACGCGATGGCTCTCGCCCCATCTTGCTCTCTCAGCCGAGCCTGGCCTGTCCAGGCTCGGAGAGACACTCCCTGCAGGGGGGGTAAACGGTACAGGCGGAGAGGAGCAAGAGGCTGGGAGCGGGGCCAGCAGCCGATGCTGCTACCGCGGGGAGTGAGAAAGGCATGCTGGGAAGGCCAGCGACTGAGGGAGCCCTCACTGACCTGTACCTGTAGCACATTAAGGACATATGAGTGAAGACTGCGGACACTCTACTGACCACACGCTCCGGATGCTGCACGCCTAGTAACTGTCAAAGTACAAGCTTTTAAATCTGCGGGGGAAAAAGCAGCTTGCTGCTTATCCCCCCCCCAGGCAGTGCACAGCAATGTGAGGAGCGAGCGAGGTAAGCTCATGGGGGCTATCAATACGCTACCACTTAGCAGGCTAACTAGCATACAGTGGGCTAACTAGCATTTAGCAGACTGCTAGTGGCTAACAGGGATGGTAAGCTGTCACAGAAGGGTAAGGCGGCAGCACTTAGCATGACGTCACCCAGCCATTAGCCAGGGTGGGTCGCGGCTAGCCCTGGCTTTACCGATTGTGCAGTTTGTAGTTATTCTCCTCCGTTTGGGATTGTGACGTAGCAGCTCCAGCTCGCGCTTCGTTGGTTCCCACGTGGTGTATCGCTCGCCTATGCCTGTGAGGCCAACAGCAGAGAGACATCTTGAGACAGAGAGGCTGGCCAAAGAGCACATGCTGGGGGGCGGGGACAGAGCAGCTGACTGACCAATCAGAAAGCATGGGGCGGGGCTGACTGAACAACAACATTAAAGAAGGTCGAAAGAGTGTCTTCGTGAAAACTCGATTCAACCCCAATGAATTATAAAATATAATTTAAAAACTGGATGGAGGCACAACTCACAAAAACATCTTTGGTGACGTGCGTCAGCCAAGACAGAGGTTAGAGTTTGATAACTGACCCAACCGTTTTGAGTAGCCTGTCTTGTTTTTATTCTGTGTATGTTTATGCCCTATTCGTTAGCTGTTTATCGTCATGGTGTCTCCACGCGTAGGAGGCTGTGATAGCAAAAATTTCCAGCGGCCTCGGTCATGCGGCTGCATCGATTCCGATTGCGATTGTTTAGGCACAGCGTGGATTTGGGTCTGGCTCCGGAACCACACTGACAAAGCGGCTGTGTTTTGCCAACTCTTCCGATCCAAATTAGGGAATTCATTCCGGGGAAGCGCAGATGGCTGTCGCTCACCGTAGGAGCGCCAGTCCCCGATTGACAGACATCAGCGGGACGTTTTATGGCAAACAGACGGCAGCAGGCCCTGCCAGTGTCAGCGAGGCCGACCATCACGTGTCAGCAGCTCGGAGACACGTGACGAGCTGAAACACAGCAGCGGGTGACTCTGCCCGCATATCATACGCAAGTACTGTACACATTGCTGCTCAGCTTATTAGTTATTGCTGCAATTCCTCTGTGCGCCCTCGGGGGGCCACGGCACAGTTTGAGCATCCAGTGATAGATTTTAGCTTGACTGACATAGGACAGATATCAGTGTGAGACACAATTGCAGTTACAGGACAAAAGCAGACTGGTGCCCTGTGCCCATAAGAGCCGTCCGTCCTTAGCAAGTCCATTACATCACAGCGTGTAATTGAATTTACCCTGGTCTCCTGTCCCACACCACCCACAGACCATCCTCCGAGACATAAAAGTAGAGGCAGTTTCAGGCTGCACCCCTGAATATCCCTGCATCTCCCAGCAGCACCCAGGAAGGAGGCTGCGACCTCCACGGTAGGCTGGGCCACACTGCGCAGTCACCCAGCCGGTTCCTGCTGGTTTCGGCCGGTTTGCTGACTGACAGCAGGCCTTTTGGCACGGGCCTTGGCCCAGAAGCCGCAGGGGAAGGCGTACCTTGCAGCTTCCAGGCCTTCCTCTGCTCCTCTTTGGCGATCTGCTCCATGTCTTTGTCATATATGTAGTCTTGGCACATGAAACAATAGATGCCCCCATACAGCAGGTCTATAGCTGTGACAGAGAGAGAGAGAGAAAGGAGGTTAAAGCCAAAAGCATCAGTCACACCAGCTGCTGGCCCGCAGGATTTTTATCTCAGCATCCATATTTATCACCCCAAAAACCTTGCTAGATAAGCAGCACTAGGTGGCAGTACAAGGCCAAACTCAAAACCCAATTGGGCTCGCCAGGGCCAATCACATTAGAGCACCATCCACACGCACTAACTGCCACCAAAGGCCCAGCATTGTGGGGGGGCCAGCAAGATGGCCGATGTCGTGACGCTAAGCCAGCCTCCAGCTCCGACTCCTCAGCGAAAGGGTGGAGGGGGCGTGGGGAGACATTTGACTTCAAATTCCAGGGTTCTCCATCCTCTGGAGTTTGGGCCAGATGATTGGACAGGAGGTCGATGGCAGGCTTTGACAGTCATCTGGGAGGTTTCTGAGCGAGACCGAGGGAGCGACGCCGACGAGAAGGGCAAGTGTCGACGTCAAGGGGGGGGAGGGAACAAGCATTTCAGTCACCACGGCAAACACGAGTAACAATAAGAATTACAGCACCTGCTCTGCGGCCAAAGTAACAAACTAGGACCAGCAAAGAGGACGAATTCCAGGGGATCTATAGAGATTTTTCAAATGTAATTTCTGCTCCCGCTCCCGCTGCAAAATTCCCGCTCAGTCTGCAAACTAATTAAATGTTAAATTAACCTCTGGGGGCTGAAGACCAAACATGGCACGCTGCGTATGTGTGTGTGCGCGTGTCAGGGGACATTTTCCACCCGACCGTAAGCTTGGGTTCGCCTGCATATGGCGCCTGGATCGAAATTCAGCCCCTGGGTGTGTTTACACACAAACAAACAGCAGGAACATAGCAAACAGACGCTAATTAGGCCTGCAGGTTTTGGTGCGACACCCCCACCCTCACCCCCGTGCTCAGTTTGGTGTGGCTCAGGCAGGGGGAGCTCTAGTAACCAGCTGCACTTTTCAAGCTCAACTCTCAGACACATGCGCTTCCTGTGTAGCTACATATAAAACCAGAGCCCCTTAAAATCTTGTCACAGGGGCTTGCCTTGCCCAGCCCAGTGGATTAAGGCAACAATTACAGCCTTCGCATCAGCAAGGTAGGAGAGCAGGAATGGGAGCAGGAGGCCGGGAAGGGTCCGGGAGAGCAGGAATGGGAGCAGGCGGCCGGGAAGGGTCCGGGAGAGCAGGAATGGGAGCAGGCGGCCGGGAAGGGTCCGGGAGAGCAGGAATGCGAGCAGGCGGCCGGGAAGGGTCCGGGAGAGCAGGAATGCGAGCAGGCGGCCGGGAAGGGTCCGGGAGAGCAGGAATGGGAGCAGGCGGCCGGGAAGGGTCCGGGAGAGCAGGANAAGGGTCCGGGAGAGCAGGAATGCGAGCAGCCGGCCGGGAAGGGTCCGGGAGAGCAGGAATGGGAGCAGGCGGCCGGGAAGGGTCCGGGAGAGCAGGAATGGGAGCAGGAGGCCGGGAAGGGTCCGGGAGAGCAGTAATGGGAGCAGGCGGCCGGGAAGGGTCCGGGAGAGCAGGAATGGGAGCAGGCGGCCGGGAAGGGTCCGGGAGAGCAGGAATGGGAGCAGCCGGCCGGGAAGGGTCCGGGAGAACAGGAATGCGAGCAGGCGGCCGGGAAGGGTCCGGGAGAACAGGAATGCGAGCAGGCGGCCGGGAAGGGTCCGGGAGAGCAGTAATGGGAGCAGGCGGCCGGGAAGGGTCCGGGAGAGCAGTAATGGGAGCAGGCGGCCGGGAAGGGTCCGGGATAAATCCGGCTTTCCAGTGACTCATCGGTAAGTTTGGAGAAACACTCTGCACCAGCCTGTGCATGTGTGTGCGTATATTCTCACGCTATACTGAACATAACGTTTTAGTGCAGTCACATGGTGTCACTAAGCACAGCACACAAATTTGCAACTTTTTTACATAATTAATAAGCATCAAGATGTTCTGTGAGCACTATATGAGCATATAACATCGCCATATGAGCATATAACATTGCCACCATCTGTAATTTGAGCACCACGAATTTGCAGGTAACCCTCCCAAAGGTTAGTGCACCGTGACCCCACCCAGACCATGCCCCCTTACCCAGATTGTGCCTCTTGCTCTTGGCGTGCTCGTGGATGTGCTTCTTCGTGAAGCAGCCAAAGAACACGCAGTACAGGCAGGAGTGCAACCGGTTCAAGTGTGCGCCACACATGTGGCAGATGCATGATTTGGCCTGCAAGGGGCGACAGAAAGGCACAGGAGCACAGGTTTACAGAAGAAAGCGAAAGCAGTGATTGAGATGTCGTGGCAGGCTTTGTCCTCAACATGTCTCAAAACCCCTGCCAAAATTTTCCCCTTTGGCCAAAGACTAGCAGCTTTGAAGGCTAGAGAGCTAATTCTGCAGAGCGACGGAGTGGATGATGTTTATGTGACCCACATCATGCGTGAGCTTACGTGTGTTTTATATACACAGGATTTGAGATTTCAGAAAGGAGTCTGATGGATGGATGGTCAGCCAAGTATAGGCAAGGCACACAGACAGAGACACACACACACACACACACACACACACAGACACACACACAGACAGACACACACACACAGACAGACAGACAGACAGAGACACACACACACAGACAGACAGACACACACACACACACACACAGAAACAGACACACACACACAGACAGACAGACACACACAGATACACACACACACACAGACAGACAGACACACACAGACAGACTCACACAGACAGACACACACAGACAGACACACACAGACAGACACAGACAGACAGACAGACAGTTAGGAGGGCTCAGGCTGTACTCTCAGCTTTATCGTTTTGCACACAGACACCTCAGCAGGACATGCGAGGGGGTAGTGAGAGGAGGAAGCGGCACGAGACAGAAGTATGGCAGAGCGCAGAGGCCGGGAACCATTACTTTGCGCCAGTGTCATTCTCTCAGCCCTGCTGTAACACCGACAGGGACCTCGGCACACAAACTCACACAGCGTCTCCTGCTCCAAACATGCCCCTTTAAGAAAACGTAAAGAATAAAATTCCTCATACTCTTCCATTCCTCCCAGGTGGGGGAGGGGGCACCCTGCCCATGTGCCTGTTTCCAAGGCAACAAGAGGCGGCAGCGGCAGCGTCTCGCTGCATTCCTCAGCTCCCTGGCTGCGGAGATCATCACACACGCACCCCGGCGACTGAGACCGGGGCCTCGCCACTGAGCGCATGCAGACCACGACTTGACGGGGACAAAGCGGGCAAAGATATTACATAAGCAGTGAGTCACAGGGCCTCTCCACCCCCTTCTATGATTGATTAGTTTAATTGCATCTTTGCAGAACCCCGATGCAGACAAGGGCAGTGGCTTGGGGGCCGGTATGGCGAGTAACACTCCAAACCTCACTGGACAACATGGCGACAGTCACAGCTGCTTCAGGTGTGCCGAAAGCAGAGTCCGGAAGCATCCGTCGGGGGGAGGGGTGCATTTTGCCACGACGAAAACCCCCCTCCCCCCACCAACCTCCATATCCTGACTGACTCAGGGCACAGGTGACACGAAGCCAAGGGGTCAGCATCATCAGGACAGGGGTGCGATGGCATGAAGAACAGAATGAGAGAAAGAAGGGCATGTGTACAAAAAGTGGAGGAGGGAAATCGGGAGCGTGTGCTTGTGAGATTGTGTAGGCATGTGTCGGGGGGGGGGGGGGGGGGGGGGGGGGGGGGGGGGGGGGGGGGAGCGAGGCGGGGGCTAAATCAAGCTGCGGGGAAGCGGCGTGGCCCCCCTGCTGGCTGAGGGCCCCGTGGAGCAGCGACAAAGAGCCACTGTGTGCCCGTCTCTCACACACGGGCACAGACACACGCGCCGACCAGCGGGCATTTCCTGTCCAGCCCCCTGCACCTGTACCTCCCCCCCCCAACGACATCACACAACACGGCAGAGGAGCTCAAAGACGCCACAGAGGGGGAGGAAATGAGACAAGATGTCAGAATAAACCTCTTAAAGGGTGACAGACTGACAGACAGACAGACAGACAGACGCCGTCATTCACAGGTGGGGGGGGGGGGGTGCTCAGCCACACTGTGCTCATTCGAGGCCTGACTTCAGCCTCCAAGCACACACACAAAGCTGCGGCAAAGCCCTCCCACCCCCCCGGAGCGGCTAAGTGATGTAACAGGAGCACAATCAGCCTCATGCCTCATTACTACCCATAAAGGCGGAGGGGGATCCCGCTGGTGGCCGAAGGGGGCGTCGCCCTCGCAGCCTGGCGGCTGCCCAGACACACTTCACCAAACAGAACACGGATCCATGGGGGAGGTGGGGGGGGGACCTCAGGGAGTTTCTTAGTGTGTGTCTGGTGTGTGCGGACAGAGCCACTCCCAAACATCGATCCCGAAAGGTTCGAAAGGATCCCGAAAGAAACATCTGATGCCGGAGGACGGAGCCTCGCCCCCTCGTTTTGTGACACCCCGCCGAGGGTGTGAGCAGCCATGAAAGACCGCCGGCATGCTGCGCTGCTCATTCGGCGAACCGCTAATAAATAAAACACTGTACAGGGGACACACAGACACGCATGCCCCCCTGGACCATCCAACGCACACCCCCAAACACATACCCAGACTTACACCCCCCGACTGCAGAGAGGCCCTCATGTAACCCTTATAAGATTCAAAAGATCGGTTTCCTGAAATTGGACCGAATCAAATGACAATGGTGGCGTTTCTATGACAACAGTGCGCTTGATCTGCAGACACAGCAGGGTGCAGTCGGGTGCGATGCTCAGGCTGCGCAAACAGACAGGGGGTGCAAACGAAACTGCGCAGCTGGCCCCTCCCACGCAGCTGGACCCAGGTGCGGCTAATCATTGGCAGAGACTGCCTGGCCAACACCTGCCACCTCTGACAGTCTCACCACCCCAGCTACTCGAACCCCCCAGCTGCCCCCACGGCTGCACCCTTCTACCCCTCACAGAACCACGGCACAGGACACAATCTGACAGTGTTCCCAGCCTCCTCAGGTCAAGGACGAACAATCGTTTATTATTTATTATAGCACTTATTTAACTGCCCTCGGTCGCCGCACTCAAACCCGAACCCGCTTACCCCGAATAGCGAACACAAAAATAAACAGAAAGAGGAGGGCAAGGGCAGTGTCAAGAACGGGGTGCTGTGGTCTCTGAAATGCTGCCATTGTCGCAGCAATGGAAACGAGGACAGGGACCAACTTAAGGACCAGCGCTGTGGGCGGGGCCTGAGGGATTCGCATGTGGCGTCATACCAGCACAGCTATAATGGCGAGCAGGCCCAGCCCAATTCAAGTCCAACAAGGCAGATAAACAAGTGCTGGACAATCTTTACTTTTTCTGAAGTCATAACTATACCCCCACCCCTGTCCCCCAACCACCGCAGCAGCTCATTCCCAGAATGCACCACCAGATGAACTGCAGGTACTGCAAGAACGCATACTGGAGCGTGCTGAAAGTCGCCACTGCACCGCTCAGGCCAAAAGGAGGGAAGTAATATCCACAAACCCCGCCAAAATCCACATTCTATGAAAAACAACGATTCCGGCATATCCACCTGCGGAGTCAGCGAGTATGTCCGGGATTCCCCTGCCCATGGCTCACCCAGAACCGCCAACCCCACCCTGCGTCGTGTCCCACCACAAGACCAGTGAGAAAAAAATAAAAGAATCCAACGGCATTGTGGGTCGGGGCTAAACCACAGTAATCCTGTCTCACAACAATGGCAGCGTTTTAAAGAGGCTTTTTCTGTCTAGCCCGCACACAAAGGCCTGGATTCCGGAATGCGGCTTAGGGCTTCAACACGGAGACAGGCAGCCGGCTGCGACGGAGAGGCGTAGTCACGTCCCAGGAGGGGGCGCTAGGCTCACCACCAGGGGGAATAAGGAATAGGCCAGTTACTACAGCTAAATATTCACCAAAATATGAATGATAAAATATTAACCCCAAGGGAGGGGTTATTTTGGTGGG